TTTTAACGAAATGGCTAAAATGTTGATCACTACACCACACACAATATTTTATATGCCAATCACAAACAGTTAACAATAACAACATTTTAGTTTTTTTTAACGAAATGGCTAAAATGTTGATCACTACACCACACACAATATTTCATATGCCAATCACAAACAGTTAACAATAATAATATTTTAGTTTTTTCAAGCTTAATGGCTAAAATGTTGATCACTACACCACACACAATATTTCATATGCAAATCACAAAAAGTTAACAATAACAACATTTTAGTTTTTTAAACATAATGGCTAAAATGTTGGTCACTACACCACACACAATGTCTTATATGCCAATCACAAACAGTTAACAAAAACAACATTTTAGTCTTTTTTTTCAAACAAGAATTTTAGAGAATCAACTTTCAAAGCAAGACAACGTGGAGTGCAAGATGGGTGTCCGCAGTACACTTCAGTCGGCAGTCACACAACAGTCTCATTCTCAGGCTGATTCTCAGGCTGATTCGCAGGCTGATTCTCAGTCCGATTCGCAAGCTGATTCGCATTCCGGAGCAACCTTTTGTTGGGAACACAAAGGGAAAACACAGCAATTACTTGCAAGCATTTAGGACACTTAACATTGAGCAGATAGAGGCCGATTTAAAGCTAGAAGTGTACAGCAAATAGTTTTCGGCTCGCATAGAGACAAGGCTATTTCACTGAAAATGTGTGTTTGTATGTGTGTATGTGTGTGTGTGTATGTATGTGTGAATGTGTGTGTGTGTGTTGTGTTGTGTGTGTGTGTGTGTGTGTGTGTGTGTGTGTGTGTGTGTGTGTGTGTGTGTGTTGTTGTGTGTGTGTGTGTGTGTGTGTGTGTGTGTGTGTGTGTGTGTGTGTGTGTGTGTGTGTGTGTGTGTGTGTTCACACCGCAGGTTCAAAGGAATACAACCATTACCTCTCCAAGTCTTCATCAGTAAGGATCATCATAGTGGACGTGGTGCTCCCTGGCCATGGTGCCTTTTTCTTACGAACTTTGTAGGCATTGTCAATTCTTTCACGGAGACGCTGTTGGTAAGCAAGAAACACGAAATAACACTGTTTATGTCATTATATCATCTTCAAAATGTTGACAAAGAAATCTTGAACTTGATAAGAGTGTTTTGTTGATGAAGTCCATGGATCACTGACAAGTATAAGGAGGTCTAATCGATGCAAAGCCTTACCTTGAACTTCTCTTGCATCTCTCGCAGCTTTCCGTCCTTCTCCTTCTTCTAGTATAGTGTAGGAGTGTTTTCATGCAATCAACAGTCATTATGGCATACATTCTTACACACACACCCAAAATTATCATTCATAGCACTTCTAAACATCTTGTTTACATGCATGTCTTTTGAATTTGTAACATTTCCAAATCAAGGAAAATATCGATATTATACTTAGAAATACAAACATATATATATATATATATATATATATATATATATATATATATATATATATATATATATATATGTTATAAATATAAAGTATATTCATCACATCAAAGAAAATTAATGTACTTGAAAATACGTAAATCTACTCTTCTTGAATGTGTAGCTTTCTGTACTCGCACCTTTCTCCTCATGAAGATCCCAAAGCCCAGGTGTGACGAGATGACTCCAGCCCCAAGCACGCCCACACAGACCTTGTCAAACAGACAGGCGCTGTAATGGCTGCCACAGTCCCTGATGACCGAGGTCACAGCGTTGAGCGCTGCCACGACGCACTGGAAGATGATCCACCCCAGAACGTACTTGTCCTAAGAAGTGAGAAAGATTAAGATAGTAGTATTACCAAAATCCTAATAATGTACTTGCCCTACGAGTGAATAGATATCCACTTGTAGGCAATTGTGAACTACATTTGCCCGTCAGAAATATCGGCACTAGAGAGAAACTTTTTACCAAGGAACTTGTTTGTTTGTTAAGAAGTGCTGAGAATTATAATTTGGGATGGGTGGGTGGGTGTGAGAATTGTATACCATATGAAATGACTGTTGATTGCATGAACATGTTACACTTCCTACACTATACTAGAAGAAAGAAAAGGAGGGAAAGCTCGAAAGATGCAAGAGAAGCTCGAGGTAAGGCTTTGCCAAGGAACTGAGTCATACATGATGACTGTGCTTCATACAAATGATCACGAGTTATACTTATACATGTACCAGGTATCATTACCTTCGTCAGAAGGTTATGTGTTTAGGGACACCATACGTAGGGGTTGCTGAATTTTTTATACATTAGGATGTGGTGCTTGCATCTTTATGATATTTGGTAGGTAGGATGAGGTTGGGGAAAGAGACGTTAAAGTCAATTTGGGGGTATTCTAGCAGTTTAATAAGGTACTGCAGTGGGGTACATGGGTATGATATCTCATGTTATTAAGATGCCATGATCTTGTTTTTTGAGTGGGACATAGATGGTAGGGCAGTAAGTATCTGGCACGGTTTTCAAAGAAAGAGCTGTTTTTGTTTAGCTGCTGTGATCATTTTTATGAAAGAAAGTGACTAGACGGGATAACTTTTGAAGTTGTGTTTTTTTTTTACATTTTTTTGTAGGTAGCTTGTTGTGAGGAGAAGTTCGAATTTGGTATTGCAGTGACACTTTTAGTTTTGACATTTAGCTAGCTTCGAATGTGGATCAAGGTACTTCAACAGATGTACGTGGGCAATAGATACTGATTTATGTATTGGGACTTACGTTCCCAGTGCGAGCATTACAACTCGAGCATTAACAGTGGACTACGGCTTAATTAATATCGTCCTGTCCCCGAAAGATCTTGTTGTAAATATCTATCGAGCCAAAGTGCTTAATCTGTCGATTCACACGAGATTGCAACTTTTATCAATGACCCTACTATGACACTTGAAACTTTATTCGAATTACTAATGTTATTGTAAACAAGCATCGAAATTCAACCTAGTACATCACTGCTTCCAGTCATGCTGTTGCTGACAGAAATAAACCAATAAACAAAAACAAAAAAACACAAAGCTTGGCTCACCAAGAGTGAGGACTACAACTTGCCCAATACAGTATTATTTCAAAAGTTTGTTTACCATACGCTTCTACTGGAAAACGTAGTTATAATAACTCACCAGCAAAGTCAAGTACGGGACAGTGGGGAGATACTGGGACACCACCAGCTTGAAAGCCACTGTGGTGAGCAGCAGAGTGAAGGTGTTGGTCAGGCGTCTGTCAAGATCTTCAATCGAGACGGAGAAGACCGTGAAGGAGACGAGCATGATTAGGAACTGTGGGGGAAACAACATTAGAGGTGACAGTCGTTACCCATAATGCTTTGTGGTAATTTCAGTCCCAGTCCCACCAACAATGAATGAGCACTGAGAATGTCTGGTAAATATTGGGTATTGGAGACGCAGGAGAATTTCACAATTTCATTGTTTATATAAATCCCCTCAGAGGCACTGACTGCAATATGTGAATGACCATCAAGTAATTTTAATTTTATTACACAAGGAGTTGGCCCTTGTCTCCTTGTGAGGAAAAGGTACCAGCCAATCACGCTGCCTCTAGAGCATAAGCAGCAATATCATTGGCTGATGACAGCTCGCCAGTGATGATGCAGTGCCAGGCAATCTCCAAACAGTTCATTCGGTGGCTGCAAAGACAGTACTAAATTTGCCAGCCAGTATCCATTTGGCAGACCATGGAAACTGTCAAATGGATATATCCTGACGAATTTGTTACTGTCTTTGCAGCCACCGAATGAACTGCTTGGAGATTAGTGCCAGGGCCCTTGCCTGATTCAAACAAGCGACAGGCCTGACATGAAAGGATGGGTGCTGGGTGCTACCATGCTCCTCATACATGACGTGACATACACAAAGTTTTTACACTTACCAAGATGAACGCGGTGTTCCATATGTAGAAAGCTGTCTTCCTCTGCACATGTGCTGTGATGTTGTACACGGGGTACTTGCCGAAGGTTTCGGACTGAAGGTTAGTTTTGGTGCCATGTTCGCACTCCAGATACTTACTCACTGTCCACTGGTCACTATCTGAGGAACGGGGTTGTTGGGGACGATAATCATTATGATGAAATTCCCTCTTCTCAAAATGATATACTGGTGTATGATGATTACGATCTGTATCGTACTGGTGTATGATGATTACGATCTGTATCGTACTGGTGTATGATGATTACGATCTGTATCGTACTGGTGTATGATGATTACGATCTGTATCGTACTGGTGTATGATGATTACGATCTGTATCGTACTGGTGTATGATGATTACGATCTGTATCGTGCCTCAAAGATTCGTAGGCACGCGGCGTGGCGGCAGATCCTGGCTATATCACTGTAATACTGAACTACCAGACGAGTGTCAAACCTAGGCTGTTTTACACACAACCTTTCTCTGCCAGTGTGTATTCTATCATGCCAATGCATCTTTGCAGCTTGATGCTGTTATTTGTATTAGCTGCTGGTAGTAAATGAAAATTCTTTGATTGCACTTTGCACTTTTGTTGTATAAAGTTATGGCATAAAAATTACATGTGACAACGACTACGGCAAATATGGCCACGCCATTACCTGCAAAGTCGTCTTCATTAATGGTGTCATTGGACCCGTAGTTCTTTCTCAGGTCCACATACTTGATCGACCATCCTGACATCAGTTGGGTAGTCAGTTTCTGGAACATTATTAATTATTTCATTTCAATTATTTCATTTAAAATTCATTGTGCTTAGTCAAGTGGTTAGCGGCCTTGCCCCTGGAATAAATTAGATTGTAAATACTGCACATAGCGTCTGTCTTCCTTGTTACGACCATGGAAAACAAGTTTGAGATCACTTTATTTTGTCTGGAATTCTAAACGTATTTTGCAAGTCTGTACACAGACCGCCTGATGCTGGCACATCGCGGACTTAACAGAAAATTAAAGAAGCAAAAGTGAGCAAAATTGATTTAATGGGAAAAAAGTATTCTGTGATGGACCCAAATGCTCACCATAGCTAGAAGCCATAAAATCAACATTTTAGGTCTGGTTAACATCTCAAACTTGTAGATCCATTACTAAGATCCATTGGCTTGTATGCTGTAGACAAAATGTTCAATACAAGCCAGGGGCATTAAACTTTAACCATAGACCACACAGAGCTGTGAACATACCTGGTGGTCAAACGGCAAGTCGGTGAGGTCCATGTTAGCCTTGAACGTTGCCCAGACTTTCCTGAATTGGTGCACGATGGGCACGTTCTCTCCAACTACCGGGATCAGGTTCCGTCTGGTCATGGTCTCAACGGTCGTCGTGTTCCGCAGCACGATCCTCGGGTCCCACGTCCTGTCCCAGTCTACATCCTGAAACGTAACAAGTCACGTTTGGCACCGTATTCTCCTCGCCATATACTAGTAGCCCCACCAGGTATATTGCTGCCTTCAGGATGGCAATTGCAAGGACATCACAACCTTAACCAGGTATTTTTTTGTTTGTTTTAAAGTAGATGTAATAATATTCCAGTTTGCATTGATCACGCGAACTGAAAATTTAGAATACTAAATTTAGACCCTAGACCGGGCTTCGACCCACCCTCAGAACTCGCGAACGGTATGCCGATGACCACCAAATTTTCAGACGATGGTGTACAAGTAAAAATCTATCATAAGTACAATCTTTTTGTCGTTATGACGTAATATGTTGTAATTATGACGTCATTAATGTGATTTTCTTGGCCAAAACCGTTTAGATAGGTCATTCCCTGAAAACTAAATGGTATACAACATAACATTCCCAAAAGTGTAAATGAAAGAATATTAGGCTGTACTAACTCTTATGTTGCTCATAGCAACACCGGTGACGTCAGAAAATGACGTCATGCATATTTAAGCTATCCGCCATCTTGGATCATCAATCTTGAATTTTCAAAAATTGTTTTTTTTTCAGGATAAAGCCTAAAATACATTGTAAACAGACTAAAGACATCATTATGAACCTGTTTTTTAAAAAGAAATGGAAATATTGATGAAATTTTAAGGAAAAACCTGTATATACCTGTTTTAATAATATGGTCAGCCATCTTGGATTTTTGCCAATAACATCATCAAATTAAATTTTGTATTTTTAATAATAAAATTTACATAAGATTATATTGGATGTTATTGATATTAGACACCATGTGTAACTTGTCAAAAAACCCATAAAATTCTATTGTTTAAACGAAAACTACTAAATTTAGCAAAAAATGCCTGTCAAAAACCCGTTGCCATGGCAACACAAAAAAATTATTATCTTATTCCAATGATACAGAATTGTTGCCAACAGTATTCTAGGAAAAGTCACCAAGTTTGGCCGTTCTATCCGTAGCCGTTCAGGCGCTATGTGACATCAAAGATTGCGCGGGCACTTTTAGCTCCCACCCCCACCCCCCACCGCCAACACCGCCACCCACCCCCCGTCTAGATAGGGTTATATATTTGAGCGCAAGTTGACAAGAAATCAATTTTCACTCCGTCCTCTTTATCTAAAAAAATCTGTATGACTCAGCTTTATTTTCTTTTTAAATTGAGATGCATGCTCTTATAATTACCTCTCTCCTTTCAATCCCCCTGAGCTCCGGGTCCTTGTAGAAAATTTCATACCAGAGTTCTGCTGAGAACTCCTGTTTGACTGTGTCCAGATCCCTCAGGGAGAACAGGGTTGGGGTGATCAGTACTCGGATCTGGCGAGGCAGAGGTAGGAAAATATTTAAATCATTTGATCTTGAAGCATTATTAGCCTTACTCCAGCTCAATGATTGGGCAGATATAGACCGATCTTTTGGTCTTTTCAAACCAGCATTTCATAGTATATTATACCATTATGGCGATTCAAATTTTCAGCAAATGAGTGCGATTCCGGCAATGTACAGGAGCCAAAATATGACGCCCTACTAGTGTGTTTACAAGCTTGAAACACAGTTGTCAGCCATGTTTGTTTATTTTCTGGTAGTTTGTAGTGGCACCACAGAGTGCACCTCGTGTATCCTGTGGTTTGGGGCCAACCATAAATGTCAGAAATGTGAGATGAAAGGTAACCTTTGCAAAGCAAATGCACAATGTTTACCTTCGCATATGGCCTGCTCTTTTAATTCTTACTCAAACCATGGACATAGATTTTTTCTACCTCCATGCTCGAACACATCCCTCCTGCTATAAATTGCAACATGATGTAGCGCAACACTAGTTACCATGGTGACAGACGTCTGGTTCAGGTCATTGACCTTGTTTGTTTGGAGTAGAAACTGAGCAAAAACAATATGTCTTCCTTCTGCGTAAGCAATAATAATAAAAATTCACCTGCTGGTTTCGGTTACTATGCCATTTTTGTTGGCCCTCCAGGTTACTGTTGGTGCGGTTCAGCTCACTACTGATGTGCTTCAGCTCAGCAAGCATAGCGTCCTGCCATTGGGCCTCAACACCCTGGGAGGACTCCATCCTCTGAAAAAATACAGATTATCAAGCCTCCTGTGTCAACTCTGAAGGAATGACAAAAAAATACGCTGCAGTGAAACTACTGAAAAGCCAAGTGATGAGAATCCTTCATTACCCTGAGTGACCAACATTTACAATGTAAAATAGGAGGACTGATGCCACATTGTGGACATTGAGAAAAAGGACAACAATCGCAATCCGAACAACATACACAAAAATCCTTTGTTTCACCAGCGATCACCAGATCGGAGACCTCGTACCTGAACCATTGACGAAGGTTCGGGATCACTGAAGTCTAGTTGGTTTTGGAAACAGCGTTTTGGTGGTCTCCACTACCCATATTACATATATTGTAGCTTGAAGGTCTTTGGCAGAGTTTCATGTTACAATTTCCTTGTAGATGGTTTCATTCATATGGTAATGTCTTTGACATCAACACCCTACCGTGGAACGAACCGACGTGACACCCAGCGTAAAGCTTGTTAATCTGTCAAAAGCGAAAGATTCTGGTGAACAGGCACAGACTGTCATTAACCCCCGACTAACTAGATCTGTACACTCGGTCGCATGCAGTACTCTACAAAACACAGTAAATCAACCCCGGCGGCAAGCCAACTCGCGGGCTCGGCCCACCAAGCTGAGACTGGGCAAACCCACGATAGACTGGTTACCACAACTGTCTGAAACAAAACACATTAAGTTGGAGCGGCCAAACCACCATGAACGTTACAAGATTTACAGTATTCCTAAACGTTTAAAAAAATGGTTTCACTCGTCTCAATGACTCAAAAGCACCCCAACCCCTCCCCACTGGCTGAACTGGACTGGACGTCAGGTAGTAGGGATAGCCCGTGTAAGGAAAGATGTGCATCATAAGTGTTTATAGTACATCAATGTATTTAGAATGCAGCGTATTATTCCTCAAAGTCGAAAACGTACCTTGTATCCTGTTTTAATGGTCCGACTTCAAGTTCATCACTTAACTGAGGAGAATTCACGTTTTGTGGGTGGTCACCGTTTCAAGGTCGCCTATACAAGGGGTGCAACTTGATTCCTTTCAAAAGCACCATCAACAGAACCACCAGATCCCAGAGAACATTTGTAATCAGAGCTATAACTATCTGGAATACTCTCCCTAGCGAAACTCGAACAACCCGCTCCATCAGCTCCTTTAAAAAGAAACTATGGACAATACTTGATAAATACTTGATGACAACTACTTAGTAAATAGTTCAATAGAATAATATTGTATTGACAATGTAAATATAGTGCACAACATCTGTTATGTAATAGTATATTAATCTGACATATAAATGTAATTGTAGTAAACGCACGACGACCAGGCCGGATATTCTAGCTTGTTAACGTTTGGCCACAACATCTGTTATGTAGTAGTACCGGTAGTATGTCTATCTCAATTGTAACTGACTTAACTGTTAACTGTTCCGAATTGTTTATGTTCTTGTTGTGAGGGCTAGCCCTTTATAATAGCCTCCGGCTAGTTGGGCAGTCCTGGCTGCATACATGTACATATGTGTTATCAGCCCAATAAATCAAATCAAATCAAATCAAATCAAACAATCAATTGTAGTATATATTACACATGTACGCCACCGCGTGCACGTTTAGAGACGGTGGCAATGATGAGTTATTGAAGGTACATACAGGGCTGTGATGGTCCAAATTACATACATTGTAGTTTAAAAGTCTTTGGCAGATTCTTGAAGGTCAAGACGAGCCAGGTCAGGAAATTCTGATCTTCTATTGTTTGTGGGGTCTCACTTATGCAAACGTAGGTGTTCATTTGCATAATCGTTATCTATGGATATTTCTCATCTGAGTTACAGGCAGTGTAAGAAGTCTGGGCCCAACATCTTTTTTTTTTCTAATGGAGTCCCCCATCCCCTTCCCACCCCTGGCCCATCAGACGCAACAGATATTAGTATTGTTATATTGTTATGTTGTTACATACTTGCCGAAAATAGAATTGTTCAAACATATTATGACATCCAAGCGCTATGATATAATTGCAAAACTATGTAAATTTGTTCATACATGTTTCAAAAAGAGAGAAGAGATCCTGTAGTTAGATCCTATAGATAGAGAAATAGCATACGAGTGTAACAATTGCTTCTTCTATTCTTGTTACCAAGTTATTTAACTTAAGTGCATTTGGACCGTGTAGGGCGTGAACATGCAATAAAGTTCATTGTCATTGTCATTGTTATCAAGCTTCTAGACAAGGGACTAGAAAACAACACATAACCCAACATCTGCTTGAAGAAAACCAAATTAACTCAGACCTACAAAAGCCTGTTCCAAATACTACATGACCTATAAAAAATTGCTACGGTGTAGGAAAAAAACGACTGCCATCATCTCGCACATACTAGCAGACGATATGCATAACTACTTACTGGTGCAGGAAATTAAAGCGCGTGTACAGTGTATGTACAGCTGCGCACGCACGGAGACAGTGATCTCCTTCACGGAGTGATACTTACTGAAAGGCGCTGTGTTGAAAGTAGTTTGGAAGATGAAGAAGAAAGGAGAAAGAAGTTAACTGATAAAACAGCAACCATCGAAAACCGTGCAAACTGATCTCGTGGTCCCTTTAACCATACCGAATTTCACGATTTTTAATGATGTATCAAATGCAAGAACGCCGCCGGGAGTGCTCGCAGTAAAAAGGTAACGTTAATGCCTCAAAGAAAGAATCTACCACTCCTAACAAATTTTGGTAACGTTTAGTACATAAAAACTCAGGTGTATGGACGGACACCCAAACTGATCAACTCCAATGTAGTAACGTTAGAATATCGTTATCTGACAACTGTTGACACTACATGAGTAACCAGGACTCAAATCTGACCTGCGATCTCGTTCCCAGGTTCCCAGGACGCCGTATCAGTAGCTCCTTTGTTGTGATACAGTCTTCGGGCGACTGTGCCAAAAGTTGGGCATTTTTAAGGTTTTCCTGTTTAACAGAATATTCAGCAAACATGCGGTGACGTTGTCAGGTATGCGTCAGGTATTGTTTGTAAGTAATAATGCCTGAAAAGACGTGATTTTTGGTTAAATTTGATCGGCCCACATTTGGGGACACATAATGCATTTTTGAGCATTTTCGTGATTTTTGACCTTGGTAGTATTTTTAGACCTTAAGTCTATATCTAGATTTTACTAACAGTTATGTGTATTTTCTTTTAATTCTGTATGAAGATGTTTTTATCAGACTTGCTTTTGAAAGCGAAAAATATCTGAATCGTGATGAATTTCATGTATGACCTTTGACCTAAATGAAAATGTCCATTTTATAAAAATGGACATTTTATAAGAATGCATGGACATTTTATAGAAAAGGGCATTTTATAAAAATGGACATTTTATATTAAAAAATCCAGGTCATTTTATAGAAAAGGGCATTTTATAAAAATCATCAGCAGTGATCAGGACTGCCCTGTGAGGACTGTGATTTTATAAGAATTTTATAGAAAAGGGCATTTTATAAAAATTGACTTTTTATTATATTGTATTTCATAATAATTATTACCATAACAAATTTGAACATGTAGGTGTACATTAGTTTGATATATCATAAAGAATGGATGAATGATCTTCGCAGGTACACATCCGTGTCCATAATATCACCAGGGTCCATAATATAGCCACCTTGAGAAATAGTGTGCTTTAGGATATTTTTACTGCAACATACTTTTGGTATGCACTGCACACCTCAAATATACATACCTAGGGTATGTTGCAGTAAAAATATCTTTAAGCACACTTTTTTTTTCAAGGTGGCGATATTATGGACCCTGGTGATATTATGGACACGGATGTGTACCTCATCTGAGGGCTCATCCTCCCATGGCAGGGGCAGCGGCTCCGAATTCCTTCTCCACCCCTTACCCCTGCCGAATAACATGGCATCTTCTACTCTGCGACCCGATTCCAGGGACACGCTCTCAGCCAATCACGTATCACAGAGAAAATCTTCAACGCACTTTACATTAATATTTATGAGATGCGCTAGCTATCGGAACCAATCATGTCGGCTATTCAGTGACAAATAAAAACAAACATGGCGTCGTCTCGGGAAGAGAACTTTTGCGATGCAGGCCGCTGCGGGCGTCGGCGGGGCGCTAGCGTGTGCTGGAGGCTGCGCGCGGATCCCGCCGAGCACGGGGAAGGTGTTAACTCGGTGACTTTGCCCCGCACGGCCTCCCCAACGCGTTAACGGGCTCGTCACCGGTTGCGGATTGCGCCACCCGGCGGAATTCGTCGGGATTGCACCTCCGGGAGGGAGTGTCCGCCCAACAGGTCCCAGCATGCTTCATTCTTACGTTCGGGTTACTTGCTTGGCAGCACGCAAAATAAGAGAGCCAAGAATTTTGCATTTTAAACAACATCCTTCAGTCATCCTTCATTCAGCTGAGTCAGAAAGTGCATGCAAGAATGTGGGGCGCAGGGAAGAGGAAGTCGAGAAGGCCGGCGAGATTCGTAGACTACTATACAGAAGGTTTAGATGAACAACAGCGGGACGACGTTCGGCCGAGGTCAACCTCGACCCCGAGATTCCCAGTTCCAAAACCGAGAGAGGCAAGGCGAGAAGTAGACGTGGACGAAGTGGAGGAAGAGATAAGGGAGGCTACAAGGGAAATAGAGGCCTTGAAGGTGGATTTACAGCGGATGGAAAGGTCAGTGCTTGAAGTTCAAGAAGGTCAACAACAAAATGGCGAACAAAAAACCCGCCATTCGCGTGACGTCACGGCTGCGAAGTCTCGCGAGAACTCGCCTACTCTCGGGCGCCATCTTGGGGACGGCAGGCGCGAGCCTCCAACACGAATCTCGGCCAACGAACTACGCCAGTTCACTCGGATGAAGCAAGACCTACATACCAGGGCAACCTCGTCCCCGCCACCGTCTCGCGGACGTAGCAAGAAAGCGGCAGCCAGCGCGCGGAGCTCGAGCTCGTCTTCCGAATCATCGACCTCACGCTCGAGCTCAAGTGATCACTCCAGAGCCTCCAGAGGTAGGTCGAGTTCTTCACGGTCCAAAGGGGCGAAGTTGAAGAGGCGGGTATTGAGGAAGTGTACGGATCAGGTGAAGAGGAAAGTCTTGTTTCCGCAGGAGAGATTGCCTAACACAAAGAACGGTGGCAAAAGTTATTATGATCTGGAATGGCATGAGTGTATTGCCGGTTCACTAGATATCATTCTATCGCACAAGGTGAACTCTATAGAAAGCAAGCAGAGGCTCAAGCTCATGCGTTTCATGATGTTCGAAGTAGCAGAATTCGGTTACCAAGCCGTGCTTCACTTCAATGCTGTAGTGCTCATGCAGATCGAGCAGGGCGAGCTGGATTGGGGGGACAGGCACTTCATGAAGAAGGTACAAAACTTGAAGTCTGTTCACCTACGCAAGGGAGACGTCCCTCATAGGGATGCTAGCAAGGCCGCCAAGAAAACAGACCTACAGCTGTGTTATGCTTACAACAAAGGCGAATGCCAGGCTACTGTGGAAGACAACAGGGCTCATTCCAGCAGGAACGGTAAGGTATACCACTTCTGCAGACCTTGCGCAACTATGCGTCCTGCGATGGGATACCAGAAGCACAGCGCAACAACTTGCCCTTACAAAGACCCGGAGTTCAGGGCGAAGAACCCAACACAGAAGTCAGCGTGACTACTAGATGCAGAGAACACATATGTAGAGTATGATGGAGGAAGGTCTGTAGGTAACGATTTTCGGACGTTTATTAAAGTAGAACTAGGCAAGCATGCAATCACCACTCATGATACTCTCTTAGAAGACAACACAGGAACACTTCAAGAACATAGTGGGGGGTGTGGCTTTACTTCAGTCTCAGGTAGTGAAGCCACGACCTTCACGACTTATGACACGCCAACGATGCACATGGATTATGCCAATCCTACTACTAGCGCTGGTACGAGGTGCACTCTTGACACTACAGCTCGCCCGTGCTGCGGGCTGTCATCCACGTGTCAGGTCAGGACCT